TATCCTTTGTCTTTTGGTTCTCTCATATAACATAGTACATGTAATCCTATCACCCACAACTGAACAATCTTACAGGAATTACGATTGACCTTAGAGGAGGATGACAGCTTGTCATTGATCGACTTATCCACGTAGTTAAACCCTATTGCTATTGTTTGAATGTCAGGAGCATATAATGAACATGAACGTACAGTACCACAACAAATAAAAGAGACGAAAACACGACAAGAATAACATAAAGTAATGTATGTATGTATACTACGATATCACAATAGTCCTACTCGGCCTTGGGGCTCGACACCTCTAACTCTCGTGTCATGAAACCGCAATCGCCGACCCGTTCCCGTTCATACCTTCAACATGATTCCTTGACGACGAAGACGACGAGGGTGCCTGTAGTTGTTTCATATGACAATTATGACATTCCCATGCTTCGCCGAATTCATCTCCGACCATGAACTCTTTCACTGTGAAAGAGTAGAAACACGGCGAGTACTCGGTGCCACAACTCCAACAGTGCATGTCGGAGCTAGCTAGAGTGCTCTCAGAGTCAACGGAGTCTTCTTCGGTCTGGATGATTTGGTCTAGACGTTTGGCTTTGCGGAGGAGACCATGGGTGTTGTCTAGAGGTGCTTGTTTATAGTTCTTGCAGTAAACTTGAAGAGCAGTCTGGAGCGTGGTCATGATCAATATGTGTTTGTAATGGCATTTCGGACGAACGTACCTCGCCAAGTTCATTCATCTCACACATCTCGAACCGTTCTCTTCGATGCGCAGGATGTCCTTTGCATGTCACCGTCGGAACCATATGTCCGTTGAAATCCCGGAAGTCAACAATCGTTGTGGTCTCTCGCCGGCTTGCTTTAACCTAGATTCCATACACCATCGCTTAGCAAAACATATCGATATCGAAGAATAGGGCACAAAACTCACTGCTTGCATTTCAAATCCAAACTTGTGTCCGGCTTTCCAAGCGCATGACACATGGTATTCCGCTGGGCAATCACTACATCGTACAACAGCACCTCCACTCTGATCACATAGTGTACATTTCTAATAGTCAAAAAGCCCGATTAGTATCAACCACTGAGCTAGTGAGAAATATAGACGTACGTTCATCCATCGGTACGGTGGTATCGTGCTAATCCCTTCAACTAACCGTAGTCGTGTGGCGTCGGAATAGTTTATCTCCGGAATGAACACTGAACATATCGAGTGAACCCAGGCCTGGCCTTCGGTGGGTTTACATGATCGAAGGAAACTATCTGCAGGAGGGTTTAGATGTTTCTTCTTCGGGTCCTTTCGTGTCCGTGGGCAAAGAAGGCAGTCGTAGTTCTAGACTTTGTGTCAATACAAGAAGAAGAGAAGAAGAGACGAAGATAGACTTACAACAGAGTATTCTTGAGTCTTCGCATTCGAGCATAGGTCACATAACCAGTTATCGACCCCAGTCACATCAACAGTTGCTCCCATCACGCCAGGATGGGCCTTAAACGAGCAGTTCTTGCATCGCAGCACCTTGCCTGGTAGACCGTTCTTCGAACATGCAGAGCACCGATTCTGCTGTGAAGCCGTACTTGACGGCGGCGTCGCGTGTACATTCGATGATGTCTTTCGTTTAAGCATTAGTTTAGATCATTTCAAAAGGGACAGTAGACCCAAATAGCACAGGAACTGAGGAAACTCACTCTGGCGCGCTTGGCAGCAGGACCAGCAAGCGGAGTTCCCTCGCGCTTGTCGGCACTCTTACCCGTTTTCGAGATAGTCTCTTCCCGGAAGGGCCGGACATTCAAATCGGCATACTTTCTCCAGCTAATGCCACAGTTGTCACATAGCACATTAGTCACAAGACCCTTGGGTGCCTTCCACCAAACTTCTGACTCGCGTGTACGGCAAGCACCACAACTCGAGTTGGCTTTGGTGGGTTCGGCGATTATCGAAGCTTCATCGTCGACAGATGCTGCTCTGGACGGTGGGCGATCAGGAAGGGAGAGTCCAGAGGCGCGAGCGGCTTTGATTCTTCGGTTCTCTTCTCCTAGCTTCATACTGACCGGATGACAAGTAATGAATGAAGGGTTGAATGAATTGAAGAAAGTGATGCACTCACTTCTTCCAGTGGCCGTAATACCTAACCACTTCAGGCATCTTTCGTGACTTGACCTCGTCCCGTACAGGCCGCAGTTCAGCCCCATGAGTGAGAATAGCGTCTTCGAAAGCAGCCTTCTCGATCTCTGTCCAGTCGCGATCTATATATCTAGAAGGGTCGGTTTTCCACTGTAGAGATCATCGAGTCCATGCCTATCAGAGGGGCATTTTTTATTGATACCGATGACGTATAGAAACACACCTTCTCAAGGCATGAAGCGTTCTGCATGTTAACGGTTGCCATGTCTCGTCTGGTAAGCCATGCATTAGAAAATCTGTGGATAGCCTCTGAGACCCAATCGACATTGTGCTTCAGTCTTTCACTTCTTGTCAGTGTGGATTTGTATGTTTCCACTAAGGAAGCAAAGTTAGAGTAGTTCCAAGTATAGAACGAAGAGCTAGTGCTTACTTGCAGCCACTGAAAACAAACACGAGTCAACAAGTTGAAATAGGAACTGCGGAGATTGGAAAAGGAGACGCACATTCCTCTGGCGACATCTCGTTGACGAGACTCAACACTTCGATCGTCGCTTCGGACCCTCGTTCTTCTTCCCCTAAAAAATAAATCTAAACATACCGCAACGTGTTAGCAACAACATGACCTACCTGCAGGATACTGGTTCTCAGCCCCTGCAATAGGGAACGTATTGACTTGATATTTAGGGCCAACGCGGGTAGCGGCGCGTGGGAAGATAAAGTCATCGGGATCTAAGAAACCGCCAGAATTAGCAGGCACGGTTGTCAGAGTACACTGCTCTCACCCACCAAGCGTATCTTCTGCTACAGTGTATTGCCTGCGTCAATCTTGTCAGCGTCCTAGTTTCTGATTCACACTCGTCATCCTTACCCGAAGTATCTGAACGGCCACATTCTGAAGTGCTTGATCTCTTCGTTCTCCTCCTTCTCCGCCAACACCCGATCCTTGCGCGGTCGCCCCCTGCCCCTCGGAGCCGGGGCATTGGACTTGGGTTTGGGCGCTACCGGTGTGTGGTGGCGGACTTCATGACTGTCGACTTCTTCCTCATGTTGTCTCGAACAGGGGGCACACGTCCAGCCATATCCCCGACTTGGCTTCGCGAGCAGAGGGGGCGAGACACAGCCCATGTGGAAGAAGTTCTTGCATCGGTCACATTGGACGGTTTCAGGACTGTGAGAAGAAGAGGTTCAGATCAAAAAGAAGGATGCGGAGAACGAGATGTCGATGGGGGAAATCCGGTTACTTACGGTGGGCACCATTTCTCGCAAGTTGCACATAGACGGACTTCATCTGTCAAGTCGGGAACAATCTCCTTTTCTGCCACGACATATTCGTATCGCGAGACGAGCACATCCCGGATGTGCTCAGGCACTGTACAACACGAAATAGAATTAGTTACATCGAACATATACCCTTCTTGTGCTGTCACAGACACAATACATACGATTTCGGAGAGAACTAGCCTGGATGACTTCGAATTCCTTGCGAATCCAAGGGTCAAATAGACGAGTGAAATAAAATCTATCCGGACGTTTCTTCCACCCTGCGAGATCAGATATTTTGTCTCTGTGAATGACGTGGCATCTTGCTCGCAGTTGGTTGAGGTCGCATACTTCCGAGTAGATGGCGGCCAAAAGGAGGCGCGAGTCCGCGACGGGACGGTCACTAACGTCGGACGGACGATAATACCATGCGAGACGCACACGTGTGAACGGTTCGTTGCGTTTTCCATTCGAGTCCAGTGTAGGTGTGCCCTGGGCAGGAAGGAACTCCATGATGCGCGCAATCGAATATGGTGTGCCGTCGCGAACGGACCAGGCGGGGGAACAATAAACATGGTCTTTTAAAAATCAGCATGTAGCTTGGAACAGGTGTAGATACCAAGGAGAATCACCATTGACTTTTACCTGGTCGCCATTCCGAAGGGTGACCAAGGGAGGGGAGGTGGGGGCGGGCATTTGATGGGGGTGTAGGTGGAAGGGGGCGGGAGAAATGGATAAGTGGGCCTGCCAAAATGAGAAACGCCCGCGCAAACAGAAACCGAGGCCAACGGGCGGTCTGCGACGGTTTTTTTGGCGAGGGAAAGCAAGGAACTTGTGAGGGAGAAAGCGAGGAAGAGGTCTCGTAGGATGGAGTGCAACCGCAAGAAGCCTGGCTGAGATCCGCTCGCTGAGGAAACAGTTTCAACTCCGACACCTGTTTATTTCCATCGAATGCTGGCTCGTAACTTCAGCACGAGTCCCTGTATTCTCACCCTATTATTGAATGTACTGTACATATATTTGGAACAGCCCTTTTATCTACTTCACGCCTTCTACACCCCTAAAGGTCCTTTCTAAACTGCCTCGTTCGCAGGTATGATAGGAGCCCGTGGGCTGTCTCTGCAAGACACAACCTTGGTTGATTGCTACTTCCGGTTGCCGTAGCTGCCGGTATACGTACAATTCTCTGCTGCAGTTTCACATTGGAATATGGTCTTCACCTACCAAGTACCTAGGGCGATGCTTATAAATCGTCTCCTTAAGTGTAGATGCTCGCATGACTTTGAGAGCTTGACCTCTTTCAGAAACGTCGTGCATTACATAACGGTACTGGGAGAACGATTGTCTCATATTACACATAGAGATATTACTGTGTTTGGAGCTCCCATCAATTATCGGCGCCGGAACGATCGACGACATACCTGATTTGGAGGGTCATCAATTTCTGTTGATCTGTACTTCGGGTGCAGCATCCATTGAACCACCTTCAGGAAAGAGATATATATATGTCCAAGCTTCAGAAGGTATTATGAATGACATTCGTTAGCTCACCTGGAATATAGTGCCCTCCTATGTTGTGCTCAATCGGTGGTGGCTATGCGACTACATCTACTAAAGACCCCATAGCTCAGTGGTAGAGCGTAAGATTCCAGCTTAGTCAGCAAGCACTTCCTTAATGTCATCCGTTCAAGCCGGGTTGGGGTCAGAATTTGGCAGCTTTTTCTTTTTCTAGGCTCTAGCGGCTTGTTCGTCGCGTTCTGTTTGTCCACATCGATACACAATTGCTTTCTATTCAATATTGTTACAATTACCGGAGCGATGACCTGAAATATTTGCTCAACGTCAGTCATCTACCAACCGACCCTCGTTAATCAGTGTTTCGCACTATCTAGCTATCATGGCTCGTCCAGGCGACACGCCTGCAGCACCTGATTCTCCTCGAGAAGCCGACTCGCCACCGCCTGAAGGGTCACAAGGAGACTTAGAACTTGAATTGGTCGGGCTCGCAAATGCATTGTATAACCTCGGGACCACTGTCGTTAATGATTTGACCAAGGAGAAGGATCGGCCAGGAGGTGGGAAACAGGTCGGTCTGCGAGTGTAAGTTCTTTCTCCTGATGAATTTCATGTGTTATATTCGGTGTTGAGGTCATGTCTGATTGTGATAGGAACGATGTGATCAACCATCTTGCCACATTAGACGGCATGTCGCAAGATGTCACTACTATGATCCCTATGCAAGTTTTGGAAGAGGTGGATAACTCTCGTAACCCCATGACCTTTGACGAAGGAGCGTATCGAGAGAGCTGCTACCGAGAACCAGTTCATGAATGGGAAGATTCATGCAATCCAGGTGTGTGCCTTGTGACATTGCTGATAACTTTCGCTAAATGTAATACAATACTGGACGCAGTCATATCGCAAATATCTGGACGAGGCTATCGCTCAGTCCTTTCCAGAGTTGGCACAATATTTAGATCCCTCTGTGTCGGACGGACTACCTTCGCAAAGCTCTTCATCGAATAATGGCAATACTTAGTCACTACGCTGCTGTATTTATGGTATGCATCATCGTCTTGCTGGTCGGTTCACTCTTTTCAATATGTATCGTATGTTCTGTATTATAAACGCTCATCTTCCAAATGACACCAACGTCCCTTCAGTATTAGTCGTGCAGAATGCCACATCGAGTTTACTGAACGTCTACCATAACTTTAGGATGAACGGTGTCAATCAAGATTCTTCCACGTCATTGTGAGTGGCCTTATTGTGTGCTTACTACTATTTGCATTATGCTAGCTATGCTCCGGGGCCTCGAGACAAAAAGTGCGTTCTCAGAAGTGAAACAATAACACCCGTCCGACCTCTGGTTGAAAGTCCATGACCTTTTACCCCTCCTACGATGACGCCATCCTCCTTCAACTCAAGCCTGAATTAGCTCTCTCCCGGTCGCATTTGTTTGTCGCTGGTGATGGTCTATTCCACTGACATTTCGCTATCATCGTATGCGCCCCGAATCAGCCTAAAGACTTTGTGTCTGGAACTCTTCTGGTCATGTTACATGTTGTTCACAATACCATCACTTCATTCGATGTCGAGGGCGTTCATCCTCAGCTATCTGCTCCCAGTTGCGAAGTTGCCTACCTCCTCCTATCACTGCATCGAACTGATGTCTATATTTTTGTTGAACATTCCAAGGTCTCGAAAGACCTGCATAAGTGTTCAATATGTAAGTTGCCATATCGCACGATTTTATGGTACATCCCAGGCTTCCGGAAAACTAAGACCATGCCCTATATGCGCATCACTGACAATGAAAAAACTTGATATATTCCTGGTGTGTGGACTTGAGGATGGTATTGACGTTTGACTAGTAATTTATCAAGTTATGTTATATAGGGTATTATTCTAAGTTAGACAAATCTGAAATATAGTACTTACTACTCTATGTTTTAATACTAGTATTAAATATTAATATGAACGGTAGGCGCTTTCCCGCGCTTTCGACGTCCAACACCATTCAAGTTGTTCAAGTCTTCCAGGACGGACCATTACAACAGAGAAGACCTCAGTACCAGTGAGAGATTCCTTTGAATATCTGTATAAGGAGAATTCCTCATATGAATCATCATAATTCTCCAGACTGGTACCATCTCTTTGCTGAATGCCAGATAACTTCATCGACAAGGGGTCGATCCCCCTCGAGTAAGCATGGTAGTATATGCTCATAGACGAAGACATATTCTCACTTTACCTATAGCTTTCATGCTTTCCCGGACGTTGTATCCGAATCTGAGCTCTCTGGACAGACGGCCGATGAGTTTGTGCGCAGGGTCGAAGTACATCGCAAGGCCATAACTGAATTACAGGAGAAGATTATATGGCACCAAAAAGCCATCGCACAGTATAACGGCTGTATAAATGCTGCTGTACCATCCATCAACGCTGTGATGCCCCCAGAAATATTGCGCGAGATTTTCAAACAACTCATGTGGAAATACATGTTCCCAATGCCTCCCTCGATTTCATTTGGGCTCAATGTACGCCAGAACTCTCCGGACTGGCTCCGTGTCGCCTTCGTATGTCGGTACTGGAGGTCCATTGTACTATCTTATCCTGCACTCTTCTCGTCTGTACATATGCTGGCTATGCCCAGTGAGCTGGTGTCTCGATGTCTGGAATATTCCCAGCCCGCTCCATTACAAATCAGTTGCGAGAAAATGTCTTTGCTTCCATCCAAAATCATTGCCGTTCATGGGCAGCGTGTATCCGTTTTCCGGACCGGATACTTCTGTGATACAGTTGATTTGTGGCCTTCTTTTCCAGCTGCGTATTTCCTCGGGTGTAGTGTCAAATACGATGAAGCCGCCACGAACTTGTCCAAGCTCTTAACACATTTTCCTAATCTTGAATACCTCCATATCGACGCGCATCCCTCGTTGGATCTATCTATCACCACGAGCCTCCCTATGCTTACCCACCTGATCCTTCACCAGTGTAGCCTCACCTTCTCGTTGTCCGTCCAGATGCTCAATCTGTTTCCCAAACTTCAAGTGTTAGAGTGGGAGAATCCCTGGATCACGGATCATTCAGATTACGCTTCATCATCACCCAAAACATCGCTTCATCGGCTCACTCTGTCTGGCTCGATGGTTGAACTCAAACCCGTGTTCAAATTGGTCCCCGACTCGAGAGTCATGCAATTACGCCTACGCCTGCACAAGAAAGGTCGGTTCCTAGACGACCTCATTTCTTTATTGCAAGTTCACCGCTATCACTCTTTGGAAATGAAACTATACGGTAGGAATCGTGGTGCATTCCGTGTCACATCTTATCGTTCCTACGATGATACTATGTCTCATTTGTCAAACTATGATGAAGGCCCAGACCGCAACAAGACGAAACGAGGAAGACCTGCTCAAAATCCATATCACAATATCAAAACTCTCAATGTTCGCGTCACATCCTATATAAGAGCCGACCCGAAGTCCATATCCTGGCCATTCATCCCATTGCTTGAGCGTATTTCTGACCATGGAATACAATCCATGCGCCTTCCAGGCCTGTTGTTCAGGCTCTTTCCATCCGACCTTGAACGTGTTGTTCAACGATTTGCACATCTAGAAACCCTTCATATCCCAACTCCCAGTAGTTTTGACCTGCCTTTGTTGGTTCAGGTGAACAACTTTATCCGATCGCGAAACGAAAAGCACCCGAAACTGCGGTTGCTATGGTTAGATTCAGCTCGTCCTATCTCATCCGCGGCTCAAGGAACCTCAGAAGTTCAAGAGAGAGATGTCATTCTGCAATCTCTGAGGGCGTTAGTAGGAGAATTGAGGCTCTCAGAGGGAAACTAGTATTTACACACAGAATTCTTATATCTCGAATTAATACTAGGTTTCTCGTGAGGTTTCTGTAAACGAACGACTCAATCAGTTTCCTTAGGACTTCAGGCGATTGATCCTGTTCTTTCTTCATATATGCAGACATATTTTCCTTTCTTGCCTGCACTAATTGTAAATATCATCCCACATATTCAGTGTTTTATGTGAAAGTAGTTATATAAACCTCCGTCTATTCCTACAGTTTGTACTTCTACGACAAATTAACGTACTCAAACTCCCTTTGATATTGATCTAGTGATCTAACGAATCAAAGCATAGACTTTGTTTGTGCTGTCGCGTTAAGGTGCAAGGTATACATATCATGCGCGGCCTTCTCCAGCTCTTTGCAGAACTGTTCGTTAGGCATCTCAGTTCGGGAGGTGATGGTGTACTGCAGATAATCTAGAAAGAGTCTATGAGTATGTAATTAGATAGAATTGTTAGTTGCATACCGTCGAAGCCAGTCATGTAAGCCACACCGAAGCCTTCTGGAACAACTTCACCCCACCCATAAGGGCCGAAGTGTTTGGAGAAGATAGCAGAGGTACTCAGAACCCAGTTGCTTGAACGTTGGAATAGTGGGTCGGAATAGATCGCAGGCAATTGTTCACCATCTTTCAAAGTCTTCTTCAATCCTGTAGCAAATTTAGATTAGCAAACGAACGACAGACGTCATGATGTAGACCGCACCGAGCATATGCCTATCAACGCCCAATCCATTTCCAGCCATCTTCGCCCACCCAATATGTCGCTTTGCAGCCTTCTCAAATAATGTCTTGCGTCCCATATCCGAAACATTGGGATCGTCCATACTTCTCACCCAGTCGTCACTTTCAGAGCTTACGACCCTGATCGCTTCCGTCCTTCCTTTGAAGAACTTTCTCGTCGTGGCGGCTTCATAAGTACCCCCTTGCCGGGAGATATGGAACGGTTGCGAGGGATTCAGAGAACGGAGAAGACGAGCATAGGCCAACTGGACGAGGAGTTGAGCCCACGAGTCCGGAGAGACGGAGAAGGTTTTGATGGCTTGTTTGCCGTACGAGGTCCGGACAATGTTCATAGCTTGACCCTCTACCAACGCAAGCGCTGCTTGTGAAGCATTGGCTATAGCAGTTTCTGTCTCTGATGAGACGTTCCAATCGCGAGGAACTGGCAGCGAAGCATTGGAGTTTTGCTCTTGACCTTGATCCCACTCCGGTGATGCGATCATATCAAGGACTGTGTCGCACAAAGTGACTGTGGGTGTTCCATCCATGACCGAATGTTCGCCCATAATACCTGCCTTTCCATTTTCGAAGACGATAAATTGAACAGGTTTGTC